CTGAAACGTGAGGTGCCAAGGAGGGGGGTGAAATGGGGGGTGAGGGGGTTTGAAGGGGGTGGGTGGGGGTTGGAGGGGGTAAGGAGGTTGAAGGAGGAGATTGAAGGAGGAGATTGGAGGGAAGTCAGTGGGCTGAAGGAGAAGCTACTATTACTACAACAAATACAACAACTACAAAAACATTTCAAACACAATCCAAGACCATGACCTAACCTAACTTAACCTGACCTGACCTAACTTGACCTGACTAACCCCACCCTACCCTAACCTAAATTATCCTTAACCTAACCTACCCATAAACTAACAAAATCCTACAAATTTAACCCCTCCAAAAAAATCACATTGTAGTTTTAATGCCAGGAATTAACTTTGCTCGTTAAAAAAATCATACATTATCATTCAATTTTTTTTTAATTCGGACTGCCAGCAATATATAATCTCTGAGTTAATGAACGATCAATTCTAATTTATATTTATTAACATTCGGTCATGGTTGAACTGATCATCTAACTCTCTCTTGATATATTGGTTGTTACCTGAGTCTCATTAGTGCTGTCAGGTGTAGGTGAGTCTTTCTCTCTATCTCTCTCTCTCTCTCTCTCATGTTAGGTTAGGTTAGGTTATATCAGTGTTAGGGTGACTAATCTTCACTTGATCCTTGTAAATAATCAAGGAACAAGAAGATAAACTGGATGAATAACCTCGCCCATATGAACACCTGCTGTAAAGGTGTTATCATAGTCTCCACAGTATTACATTTTCACCCTTATTGAGTCATCCTCAAAGACACAACAGGAGACAAGATACCATTTAAAGGTGAAATTAACCTCGACATTTAAATCAGGTTAAAATCAAATATAACATCATTTCACCATTAAACTACTTAACATACGACAAATTTAACCGAATAACCAAAGCCTTGTATTCGCTAGAGATCCGTAAACTGATTTGGTGCCAATAGCGAACGAGGTAGGGTACTTAAACGAAGTCCTCAAACGAGACGGAGATTGGTGTGTGAATCTCTCCTCGTCTCTCCTCGTCTCTCTGCTCGTCTCTCCACTAGGAACAATCAGGCAACACAACGAGACACCAGACATTGACTTAATCACATCAGGAATCAATCCATCGCCTGCAATTGTTAACAAATCGTGTGGGATCTTGTACATGGAAATCCAGTGAGGGACAGATAGACAGAGAGACAGAGAGAGAGAGAGAGAGAGACATACAGACAGACAGAGACACAGAGTGAGAAATATTCTACACACGGTTGACTACACTCTGCTAAGACACACAGCTATCCTTTGATCTATAATTCCTTACCGATTCAATAATTTCAAGACCATTATAGTGTGATATAAATTAACAAAAAAATAGGACAATAAAGTGATAGGAGTGATAGGTAGTTGAAGAATAATAGTTATAGGTAGTTGATGAATGATAATAATTATAGGTAGACCTCCCTGTAGCCCCCTCAGACACTTTGTAGCCTCCTAAATCACCCAGTAGTTCCTAAATCACACTGTAGCCCTCCTAAATCATTCTGTAGCCCCCTCCTAGACTACGGGAGAACACAGTCTCCACGTTCGTCCTCCTAGGCAACAGGTCTTGGAGATAACACAATTAACAACGTGCAGAATACCGGAAATCAAATTCAGGCGTCTTGTCATATTTGGTTTAAGCCTCGTTCGCTGAGAGAGGAGGAAGAGGAGGAGGAGGAGGAGGAAGAGGAAGAAGATGATGATGATGATGATGGTGATGATGATGATGATGGTGATGATGATGATGCATAACAAAACTCGATGTCAAGACGGTGAGAGACAGGCAGACAGAGAGACAGACACACCTGTTGAGAACTCATTTATATACAGTACCTGTTCTAACTCATTTGAATACCCAATGGTACGCTGTTTATAATTCGAGACGGCTAATGCCTTAAGGACAGGGTTCGTGAAGTCTCGGGGAGTACGTGAAGACTTGGGAGGGTTCGTGAAGCCTTGGGGGGGTACGTGAAGCCAGCCTGTGTCATGTCAACAGGAATAGCCCCTCGCCACAACACCTGTGCAAATTATTCTTACCTGTGCAATTAACTAAACAAACACCTTACACAAAGCAATTACGTCTATATACTCTCTAATACACGATACTTATTTCCGTATCATTTCAATCAATTTGTCTTCATTATATAATCCTAATTAGTTACTTAATTACATTTCGTTTCTCACAAAAAAAGTTTTAGTATTTTGTACAAGTAAATTTATTTCTAGCAATATTTTTTAATTAGTTTCATTGTTTCTGTGTAATGGTGCTCGAGTATTTTCTTCATATATCTACTAAGGCAATATATAGTGTTTTGTTTACATATAGCCATCTATCTGTCCATCTATCTATCTATCTGTCTGTTTGTATGTCTATTTGTCTTTAGGTGTTTATTCATATGTCTGTCTGATTATTTCGGCTCTTTCGTCTGATTCTTTGTCTGTCTGTCAGCCTGTCTCATTCTGTCTCTCTCTCTCTCGCCTTTGTCTCTCTCTCATTATCCTTCCGTGCCTGTCTGTCTCTCTCTATCTGCCTCTCTGTATCTCACTATCTCACTATTTCTGTCAGTTTCTCTCTGTCTCTTCCTGTCTCTCCCTACTCCATGGTGGGTTACAGACCTCGACCTGAACGCCTCGTAAATGTCACATTGATACATGTTTACATTTAACGAGTTGGTTCATTAATTACCAACATTTACAACTGGATGATAACACTAAGATCACGTTGGTGGGAGTGTTGGTAGGGTGTTGTCAGGTCCATTACTGTGTTGGGAGGAGTTGTCTAACCCCAAACGGCTAAATTAAAGCCAAGTTGTGTAAAAACAAAACATTTATTTCCAGAAAATTTATTTACATATATTTTATGAATGAGAATGACTGACAAACACACAATAAATTTATTTTAAAACGACAGTAAAAATTATGATTATAGAATACAAGTTTTTATATAATCTATAAATAATTTTTTTTTTAATTTTTTACATCCATAATTTTTATATTTACATGATTGATTTTTTTTTTTTTTACATTTAATTATTATTATTTAATTTTTTATTTTTGCTATTTACATAATGTTTTTAATTTGTTTCTTGTATTTTTTTGCTTCTAATTTACAAAGACATTTTTATTTGTATTACATGTACTTTTTCCTTATTTTTACATAGACATTTTTCATTTTATTTACATTATTTTTCTGTTTTCCATAATGTTTTCTTTTGTTCCTGTGTTTGATATCAGAATCCTCCACTGCACAACATTTATCATTTTCATCAATGTTTTCCATATTTACATTAATGTTTATAATGTCTTTTACATATTTACTATTCTAATATATCTGTAAATCACTGTTAGTTTCCGTCTGTAAATCAGTTAATGTCTAATATACATAAACATTTTGAAAACCATTATTATTTCAATGTGTTTTCAATATTTTATAACTAATGAATTTTCTTAACGCCTTTTTTACAAAATTTTTACGAAACTTTTTTATATTAATACTTATTTTTACAATATTTATCCTCTATAGTATTTACACTTTTTTTTACAATGTTTTTATTTCTAATCTTCAATATTATCGTTTTATTTTCATGAAACAAACCTGCAAAGACTCGGTACAGTTACTACACACCTGAACATTTTAATCAGTACACACCTGTTCAGTATAGTTACCACACAACTGTTCGGTATAATCACCACACACACACACACACACCTGTTTACTATAATTACACACCTGTTCAGTATAGTTACCACACACCTGTTCAGTATAATCACCATAAATCTAGTACTATACAAAATTTAGTTAGAGGTGGTGGTAGTGTTGGTAGGGATGGTGGTTATGGTGTTGGTAGGGGTGGTAGTTGTAATTAATGATTGTGGTTGTAGCGGTGGGGAGTGAATCTGTTACCTACCAGCATTACAACCAGTATCACAACCACAATTCTCACTCACAACTTCCATACAGAGCTACAACAACCACTACTACCACAACTACCATCCACCACCACCATCTACCAACCACCACGAGGATCACGAGAAATAATTATCGTACTAAATTTACATATTAGATTCTATACATGGACCTCCTCCTCCTCTTCCTCCTCTGTTGCACCACCACCTCTTTAATACCTCACACCTGACACACACACACCTGACATACACATATACACCTGCCTTGTATATCAATATCAGGTGTAAGCAGAGGACGTGTACAGTCGCGTCCAAAATTAACTGAACAAAATTGACTATATCTGACGTCAACTTGTGGGGTCATGTGATTGGTTTACGGTTTGTGTGAGCGCTCTGATTGGTTTAGAGTTTGTGTAATCGACGTGATTGGTTCATAGGTGGTGTGAGCACTGTGATTGGTTCATAGGTGGTAGACGCTGTGATTGGTCCAGATTTTTCCAAGAGTGTACAAGTAATTTTGCTAGAAGCTGTACAGATATCTATATTATGGTCATGTACAATTTGTAAGACAATTATTTAGTAGTAGTAGTAATGTACTGATGATATACCACTAACAAACCAATTATTACTCGTATAGTAGATATATGATCGTTAACACCACAATACAAGACTAAATGACCAATTAACTCTTAACAGCCAATCAAATCTCCTATTAACAACAATTAGGTAGTTAAGACCAATGACACAGTTCGGTAGTTATATCACCACTATAGCAATTAGCAGTACAATATAACTAGCTTAAATAAAAAAAAAAATAAATGCACTCAAGCGAGGTATCACTTCACACCGGGTGGTTCCTCTCTCCTAATTATGACCGTGACCTCTGACCTTTTGACCTTTGGGGGTCATTTGCAGACGCGGTACTGATCATCTGACTCAAATATTATAGATGAGAGAGAGAGAGAGAGAGAGAGAGAGAGTCATGCAGAATAGAGAAAAAGTGGAAAAGAGAGAGAATCAACAAGAGATAGAGACAGACATACAGAGAAAGGGGATCATTACCTTATTAGTATACCTGCCAACCAATAATTAATTACCACAATGGACACAGTTCATTATATAACGCAATTACTGCCCCCATTAACACTCAAACAAACACAGACGGATAATACCCTCATTAGCGGTGGGGAATAATAAAGACTTAAACGATAATTCTGACTGTTAACTGTAGACTGGTTGTTCACTGGCTACTTGGTGGTTGTTGACTGTTTTAAGTGTTGGTTGATTAATTTTTGACTGTTAATTGAAAGTTTATTGGTTCTTGGTTGTTAACTGGTCACTGATTGGTTGTTGACTGTTAACTGGTCACTAACTGGTCGTGGACTGTTTGCTGACTGGTCAGTCATTGGTCATATGTTGGTTTAAAACTGCTTTATCTCCAGTTAATTTCTTATTACTAACTATCATGGAAATTTACAGTTATTTTAGACTGTGAAACGATACCTGACAGTCAAACTACACCCAATTAACCGAGTAATGGCAACTGACTGGTCCTTAGCTGCCAGTCGATTGTTAACAGTCTAAATACACTTACTATCACATTGACTGGGAGTGGACTGTATGTAACCTGCATATAATAGTTAACAGTCTATTTTCCCCCATTAGATTTTCACTAACAGTCTAAATCATTGATAACTGTTTCGTTAACTGGTAGCTGACTGCTTGTTAAGTGGTAGATTGGTTGTTAATGGTTAGTAGGCGATTGGTTGTTTATTTGTTGCTAACCGGTTGTTAAGAGGTAGACTGATTAGTAGTTGGTAGACTGGATGATAACTGGGAGACTGGTTAACTGGTAGGGTTGTTAACTTCTCAAACTGTAAATAAAAAAAAATGGGTTAAAATTACAGAACACATTTTTTGTCGTGTTAATCTCTCTCTCTCTCTCTCTCTCTCTCTCTCTCTCTCTCTCTCTCTCTCACACAGTCACAGGTGGACCCAGAAACCTAACTCTCCCATCTCTTATTTATAGCTAAGTCTTCCCTCCTAATTCCCATCTTCTATCGCTTCTTCCCCCAATACTTCACGATCCTAACTGCTATAAATTTACATATTCAAGGATTTTAGAAGAATTTGTTGTCATTTATTTCCTCTAAGTTAAATTCCTGTCAATTCTAATCGATATTTATTCAATTTTCATATTAATTTGAGGCTAAAATGTTTATATGTTTAATTTATATATTTTCCGAGGGGGAATTATTATATACATTGGAATTTATATTAAGATCAAATATAAATATGGGAATTATTTATATGCCAATATTATATTCAAATTGTGGATGTATGTGTGTGTGTGTGTGTGTGTGTTATTGTTATATGTATGTATGTATGTATGTATGTATGTATGTATGTATGTATGTATGTATGTATGCATGTATGTATGTGTGCATGATCTTAACTCTCCTCTCATAACAAGAGAATCCCACCAAACTGATTTTCTTTGTTTAACCTTACCTTATATATGAACGAATTATCACCCAGATCCATTATTTACTTAATTCTAATTGGTCCCTGGGGTTGAGGAGGCCTAGTGATCTGTAGTTCAAGAGAAAATATCCTTCAATTAGTACAGGTGTAATGTGGATAATTAAGGCAGGTGTTGATATTAGCAGAGGTTCAGGTGTATTATGATTAGGACACGTAATATTAAGTTGCAAATTAATACAAGTTTAATAGTTTCATAATTAATAAAGGTAATATTGTTAATTAATACAGGTAAAATGGAATGATAACTAATGATAGCGTTATTGAGGAGAGATAACGAGGTCTCAATAAAACTCACTACAGGTAACGAGCAATATCACAATAATGAGAGTTTACACACCTCCACTACCTGAAGCTCTTCGTTAACCCTTTACGAGGAAACTTAACACATTATTCACATTAAGGAAAAGTTTCTTGAGAAGGGACTAAAGAAACTCACATCACTTGATAAACACCTACAGCTAAATTCCTAAATGTTCTTACGGTAATTTTTCCTCGTAAGTCAAGATTTAAGAATATATGACGAGATTTGTCACCTTAATTAGACACGTTCACTTAACAACAGGTAAGATTAGTGCATATAACTTCTCCAATGATTCTGTATGTTCGTTTCGTCTCCTAACTGATGTAGGTGAATGTAATTAGTTAAGGTAGAATCTCAGTGTCATATTAAAGGTAAATTTTCATACCTGTAATTAATAAATAGTAATTAGGTTAAGTCTTACCTTGATGGTCTAGGTAGGGAGGGGCGCTAAAGGCAGCAGCTGGTTGACAGGTGGTTCTCGCCTCTCTAGGTGATATAAAGGTGGTGGTGGTAGGTGGCGTCTCAGTGGTGCTAGATGATGAAGGGGAAGACCTACCCACCACACACACCATACCACCACACACCACAGTACCTGACGAAGGGGTATGACTGCCAATGCCGTCTGACAGCTTACTAGGTGGTTAATATTCACTTCCGCCCAACACAAGATCGCCCATGTCACCAGGCAGCCTAATAGGTGGTTAAAGGACATCCCCGCCCACCACACACACCACAAGACCGCCCAAGCCACCAGGCAGGTACTAGCAGGGAAGCCGCCGCCGCCCACGCCACCCTGCATGGCCGCCCGATGCTCACCTGTAGGACACCACACCTGTTACAATCCTCATCCTCAGACTTCCATACGATAAATATTCCTTTTCAACTTAAGACAATAATATACCTGATGGTTTGGTTGGTTTAAGTTAGGTTACGTTAGATTTAAGCACATCAATAATAATAGCACCAATAGCAGTGATAATAGCACTAATACCGGTAATAACAGCATCAATAGCAATAATAACATCAGAAATAGGAAACTTTAACGCCAGCTCACACACACAGAGCAAAAACAGCAAAGAAAAAAGACAGGAAAAAACAGCAGTAACAGCAAAAGAAACAAGCGAACCCACAGCCGTAACAGCAATATCCTTAAGGACAGGAAGTACCTCCTATCTTAACATGACCAGTGATTACGCGTTCTAAGAGGCCGTAAAAAATGCTTCTTGAGTGGTTTGTTGTGATCGCTACAATACTCACTGAGGGGCCGGGTGGGTAAGTAACAATACTCACTGAGGGGCCGACTTGGTGGGTAATAATGCTCACTGAGGGGCCGACTGGGTAAGTAACAATACTCACTGAGGGGCCGAATTGGTGGGTAATAATGCTCACTGAGGGGCCGACTGGGTAAGTAACAATACTCACTGAGGGGCCGACTTGGTGGGTAATAATGCTCACTGAGGGGCCGACTGGGTAAGTAACAATACTCACTGAGGGGCCGACTTGGTGGGTAATAATGCTCACTGAGGGGCCGACTTGGTGGGTAATAATGCTCACTGAGGGGCCGACTGGGTAAGTAACAATACTCATTGAGGGGCCGACTTGGTGGGTAATAATGCTCACTGAGGGGCCGGGTGGGTAAGTAACAATGCTCACAGAGGGGCCCGTGTGGTTAAGGGTGAATGTGTTATGGTGTAGTGTCAGAAGTTAGCTGAGGTAGTAATAATCCTCTCTGAGTGGTCCGCTATAGGAGCATGAAGCTGTTCTCATTAGTGGTCCGTTGGTACGGTAACAATGCTCTCTAATTGGCTGGCTGGTAAGGTAACAACGCTCACTAAGTGGCCGGCAAGGAATGCAACATTGCTTTCTGATTGAACCACTTGGAACATAACAATGCCCTCTGAGTGGCCTATCACCAACACAACAACACACTCTGAATGGCCCATCACCAACACACTCTGAATGGCCCATCACCAACACACTCTGAATGGCCCATCACCAACACACTCTGAATGGCCCATCACCAACACACTCTGAATGGCCCATCACCAACACACTCTGAATGGCCCATCACCAACACACTCTGAATGGCCCGGGGTGGTGGAGGGCCATGGCACAAGTCAGTGGGCGGAAAATAACAGAATCAAAACAAGTAACAGGCTGGATTAGGTCAACGGGAGAGGCCACGGGAGAGGCCACAGGAAAGAAGAGGCCACGGAGGGGAGAGCCAGTCATTTGTTAAGGAAGCTGAGGTAGATAGATGAGGGGATGAGGGAGGTATAAGTGAGGTAGGGGAAGAGATAAGGGGATAGGGGGGTTAAAGGGATGAAGGGAGGGTGTTGATTGGGGTAAAAATTGGTCTAATGGAAGTGGCTGTTTGGTAGGAGATAAGGTAGTGGTGACGGTGCTTGTTGTGGTAATAGTGGTAGTAATGGTAGTGGTGATGGTGGTAGTTGTGGTAATGGTAGTGGTGATGGTGGTTGTGGTAATGGTGGTGATAATGGTGGTGGTAGTGGTGGTAGTGGTGGTAGTGGTGGTAATGGTGGTGATAATGGTGGTGGTAGTGGCGGTAATGGTAGTGGTGATGGTGGTAGTTGTGGTAATGGTGGTGCTAATGGTGGTAGTTGTGGTGGTGATAATGAAGAGTGTACATACAGGTAAAGAAAGAGTATATGGTAGGCCAGGTGTTATGGTGAGCCAGGTGTTATGGTAGGCCAGGTGTTATGGTAGGCCAGGTGTTATGGTAGGCCAGGTGTTATGGTAAGCCAGGTGTTATGGTAGGCCAGGTGTTATGGTAGGCCAGGTGTTATGGTAGGCCAGGTGTTATGGTAGGCCAGGTGTTATGGTAGGCCAGGTGTTATGGAACAGGTACAGAAGAACAGTTATCACCATCACTACCCCCAACACTCTCCTAATCCAACTCTCCCCCAATCTCCCCCAACACTCCTAATCCCCAACTCTAATCTCCAACACTCTAATCTCCACTCTCCCCAATATTCCCCCCAACACTCCCTAATCCCAACTCCTCCCCAATCCTCCTCCCAAACACTCCTAATCCCAACTCTCCCCAATATTCCCCCAACACTCTCCTAATCTCCAACTCTCTATCCCCCAACACTCTCCTAATCCCAACTCTCCCCAATCTCCCCCAACACTCCCTAATCCCCAACTCTCCCCAATCCTCCCCAACACTCTCTAATCCCCAACTCTACCCCAATATCCCCACTCTAATCCCAACTCTCCCCAATCTCCCCCCCTCCCAACACTCCACCTCTTTCCCCAACTGGGTCATGGTAGGGCGGTCAGTGAACTATGTGTGTACGTGTGTATGTATGTCAGTGAACTATGTGTGTACGTGTGTATGTATGTCAGTGAACTATGTATGTACGTGTGTATGTATGTGAGTGAACTATGTGTGTACGTGTGTATGTATGTCAGTGAACTATGTATGTACGTGTGTATGTATGTGAGTGAACTATGTGTGTACGTGTGTATGTATGTCAGTGAACTATGTATGTACGTGTGTATGTATGTGAGTGGGTCAGTGTATTCTGTAGCTAAGTGTAAAATTAGGTTAGGTTAGGTTAGGTTAGGTTAGGTTAGGTTAGAGTTAGGATTAGGTTAAGTTAGGTTAGGATTAGGTTAGGTTAGGTTAAATTAGGTTAGGTTAGGTTAGGTTAGGTTAGGTTAGGTTAGGTTAGGTTAGGTTAACATTTATAGATACATATAGACGTAAGTAGACAGATAAAGTCAAAGATACAGACAGACAGACAAATACACAGACTGATACAGACAAACAAACACTGACAGAAGGCATACATGTAAAACAGACAGACAGACACACACACAGACACACACACTAACCGTGCAGGACGTGTACCGTAGTTGTGGCAGGTTCAGCACCGCGTGGTTGACAGGTGTAGTTACCAGCGTCTAACCTCGTCGCCCGCTGGATGAGGAGGGCCGAGCGAGTCACCTCCCCGGCCTCCGTCAGAACACTCACCCCGCCTCTTGCTGAGTTGTAGTGAACCTCCTGACGATGGGGGAGATTGTGGGGGTGTTAAGTGTCTCTCAGTGGGGGAGATTGTGGGGTGTTAAGTGTCTCTCAGTGGGGAGATTGTGGGAATTTAAGTGTCTATCAGTGGGGGAGATTGTGGGGGTGTTAGTGTCTCTCAGTGGGGGAGATTGTGGGGGTGTTAAGTGTCTCTCAGTGGGGGAGATAGTGGGGGTGTTAGTGTCTCTCAGTGGGGGAGATAGTGGGGGTGTTAGTGTCTCTCAGTGGGGGAGATGAGTGGGGTGTTAGTCTGGTGGGGGAGATAGAATGAGATAATGGAGTTAGTGTCTCTCAGTAATGGTTTTCTCTCGACAAATGAGAGAAACAGTGAGAAAGACTCATTAAGAACTTCAAGGTGCATATGGTTACTCACCTTGCCTTGATGAAGGCAGGTGAGGGTATCAGGTGAGCGGGGATGGTACAACACTAGGCAGGTGAGGTTAATTGTTGTTAGTATTGACGTGGACATCCCCTCCACCTAGGATCTCCGTCCGAGGCTCTAGGTGAAGATGAAGGAACCTAATTAACACCTGTATCTCCTACGACATACACCTGTACACCTGTCTATGTAGGTAAATAAATTGGGTCCTATTTGCCAAAACCTACAGTATATTATAATGTACCAGTAATCATTAAGGTAAGAAAGAAAGAAATAAAGAAAGAAAGAAAGAATGAAAGAAAGAAAGAAAGAAAGACAGACAGACAGAAAACAAGTCAAGACAACAAAAAACGACAAGGGGAGAGGAACCAGGAGGGGTTACTTGCCTATGATGTGCAGGGCAACAAAATGACTCCTTGGTGGGGTGAACCGATCTGGCACTCATACACTCCTTAGGTCCGCAGCTGTACCGACTTCTGTAACGCAGTCTCCTGTTGAGGGCTCATACATTTGCCTGAAGCAGTGCATAGCAAACTTATAGCAGCGTTATAGCGAGTATAGCAACGATATAGCGAGTATATAACATTATAGTGAGTCGAGCTATAATAAACAAATTATAGCAACATGTAAAACAAATATATAACATGTTAAAAAGTATAACAACATGTTAACAAATTATAACAACATGTTAACAAGTATAGCAACATGTTAACAAGTATAGCAACATGTAAACAAATATAGTAACATGTTAACAAGTATAACAACATGTTAACAAGTATAACAACATGTTAACAAGTATAGCAACATGTTAACAAGTATAGCAACATGTTAACAAGTATAGCAACATGTTAACAAGTATAGCAACATGTTAACAAGTATAGCAACATGTTAACAAGCATAACAACATGTTAACAAGTATAGCAACATGTTAACAAGTATAACAACATGTTAACAAGTACAACAACATGTTAACAAGTATAACAACATCACCTGGGATTTGAATTTTCTGAATCTTTTGTTTACGTTAATTTTAGATTTTGTTTATTTTAGTCTATATTCCTGTGTCTGTTAGCTGTATGAATGTTAAACTTGACTGACTGACTGACTGACTTATGAACTGACTTAACCTAGCAAATAATTATTACGAGAATTAAAACACCTGGTGACCACACACACACACACACACACTAAAAGATACCCTTTAAAAGCTAAAAAAAAAAAACAGCTGAGAATTTTGGGAATATTTCAGAAAATAACGAAAATAGACAAGAATCCAATAGAACTTGTGGCGGTTTGGGGAAGTTTGTCGATTGTTTCTTGAAGGAGGTCAATAAAAGTCCCCATCAGTGCCAATTGAGAGAGAGAGAGAGAGAGAGAGAGAGAGGCTGACAGATAGAAAGACAAGAGACAAAAAGAGAGAGACAGATAGAAAGACAAGAGACAAAAAGGGAGAGACAGCCAGACAGACAAGAGACAGACAGACAGACAGAGACAAGGAGGCAATGACAAAGGCAGAGACAGAAAGAGAGAGGAATGAAATGGTGGAACTTTCGTGAAAAATAAAGAATCGTTCTTTTTCAGTCATCTGATACGACAAATTCCTCTCTCTCTCTCTCTCTCTCTCTCTCTCTCTCTCTCTCTCTCAACACCACTTTAACATCACTTATACCACTTTAACAGCACTTACAACACTTTAACACCACTTACAACATTGCCTCGCACACTTAATGTCCCTTTAAAATGCCCCTAATTCTTTAAGCTCCAATAAATTCTAATGGCGCTTCTGAGATTACGAGCAATTATTATTACTTGCCTTAAGAGAAATGTTGGAATATTTTTGCTTCACTATAATGTTGTTCCGATTATAGTTAATTGTGTCTTATCCAGTATATTGGTGCTTTGACTACACTTAATGACACTAGTTCCAATATAACTCGAGTACAGTTAATGGGACCCGTTTTAACAGAGCAACACCATAACTAGACTTATTGGCACGCATTTCATTATAACACAAGTACAGTTAATGGGATATGTTTTAACATAACACCATAACTTAAGACTTACTGGCGCGCGTTCCGTTTTAGCGACACTACTTAAGTTAATGGTGCGCGTTTCATTTTATCAACACGTTACTTAAGACACAATGGCGTGTGTTCCGTTATACCGACATCTTAATTGACCGAAATGTCTTCTGTTCCATTATACTGGCACTTTGGCTTAACATATTGGAGCCTGTATCGGTATTACAACACTAATTTATTTAATGGCGTTTTTTTCCTGTAGATCAGCTGATGTTTGTTTACTATTGATGATCAGCTGATGTTTGTTTACTATCGTGAATCAGCTGATGTTATCCACCTGTACAATGATTCTACGACCTCGAATGATTTCTTTTACTCCATAAAAATTTCCCCCTAAAATGCTGTAGAAATTTACTAAGGGAGGAAACAAGACGTGTGGTATCAACAGTGATGTAAATACAAATTTCTCGTCGATAAGAACATTTTTTTATACATTTTTTTTACGTTATTACAAGAATTTAAAAAAAGGTTTTATTTTTTTAGATCATTTTAGTTTGGGCAATTTTTATTTATTTATTTTTTTCAGTGCTGATATTTTTGTTTTAGTGAATTTGCAATGACGATTTTTTATCCTAAATTTATATTAGGTTAGGTTACGTTAGCTAAGGTTAGGTTACGTTCGATTAGGTTATATAATTAAAAAAGTATTCTACAATAATCATTCCTATACTTGTTACAACTATGGAACAACACCTGACCTTAACAACATCTGACCTTAACAACACCTGACCTTAACAACACCTGACCTTAACAACACCTGACCTTAACAACACCTGACCTTAACAACACCTGACCTTAACAACATCTGACCTTAACAACACCTGACCTTAACAACATCTGACCTTAACAACACCTGACCTTAACAACACCTGACCTTAACAACACCTGACCTTAACAACACCTGACCTTAACAACACCTGACCTTAACAACACCTGACCTTAACAACACCTGACCTTAACAACACCTGACCTTAACAACACCTGACCTTAACAACACCTGACCTTAACAACACCTGACCTTAACAACATCTGACCTTAACAACACCTGACCTTAACAACATCTGACCTTAACAACACCTGACCTTAACAACACCTGACCTTAACAACACCTGACCTTAACAACACCTGACCTTAACAACACCTGACCTTAACAACACCTGACCTTAACAACACCTGACCTTAACAACATCTGACCTTAACAACACCTGACCTTAACAACCGCCAGCAGTGACCATCCATAACCTTAGTGCCACTTTAACTACTGGCACCTTTATGGCACATCTTCCATCATGGCGGCGGCACTCAGGGGGAATAAAATTTCGTACAATTATTAGCATCTTTCTTTAACCATAACTGCTAACTTATCATTGTAAGTGACGCTAAATTCTCTCATGCACCTTCAGTCTCTCTCTCTCTCTCTCTCTCAGACAGGAACAGGACCGAGAGAGAGAAGGAAAATAAAGATATGTTTTTGCTCAGGTCTTCTCTCTTGCCTGTCCCCATCACTGTCTCTTATCTCAGGGTCCAACAAGTCGAGATGGTGGTAGTGAGGTGGTGGTAGTGATGGTGGTGTGGTAGTGGTGAAAGCCAGTGGTGAGTGAAACAGTGGTGGTAGTGGTGGTGAGTGGTGGTGATGGTAATGGTGGTGGCAGTAGTAGTGAGTGGTGGTATTAGTGGTAGTGGTGGTGGTGGTAATGGTGGTGGTGGTGGTGGTGGTGGTAGTAGTGGTGGTGGTGGTGGTGGTGGTGGTGGTGGTGGTGGTGGTGAGGTAGTGGTGGTGGTAGTAGTCGAGGATGTGAGTAGTGGTGGTGGTGGTGGTGGTGGTGGTGTGGAGTGGTCGTGGTGGTGGTGGTGTGGAGTGGTCGTGGTGGTGGTGGTGGTGGTGGTGCTGGTAGTGGTGGTGGTGGTGGTGGTGGTGGTGGTGGTGGTGGTGGTGGTGGTGGTGGTGGTGGTGGTGTAGGTGGTGACGGTTTAGTTGGTTTAACTGATTATGTGCGCAGGTTGGTTAACTAGATGCAGCTGGTTTAGGGGGGTTTAACTGCAGCTGGTTTAATATACCCTGTTTATTAAAGCCGTGATGTCCTATATATCCTTATTACCGTGAGTCAGCTGATGTTCATTTGTTTATTTTGTGAATCAGCTGATCGTTATTAATCTATTTCTCCAAATCAGCTGTTCTTTGTTGACGAATTATTATGGAACAGCTGATACGGCAACCCTTTGTTGTCTTAGACTCCCTGGAGGGAAGGGAAGGGAAGGGAAGGGAAGGGAAGGTAAGGGAAGGGTAGGGAAGGGAAGGGGAAGGAAGGGAAGGGAGGTAGGGAAGGGAAGGGAAAGGAAGGAGAGGGAAGGGAAAGGAAGGGTAGGGAAGGGAAGGGATGAAGACGTTAGTTCCATACGAGGGAGCGTCCTCATGTAGGATAGAAAGATTGGGGAGAAAAAGAGAGATAGATAAACAAAGAGAGAAAGAGAAGAAAAAAGAGAAGAGAGAAAGAGGGAGATAGCGAGAGACAAACAAAGAGAGAGAGGGGAGGGGTGGATTTATGGTGTTATCAAGCTAGCAGTTATGAGACAGCGAGAAGGAAGGCTCCTCTGGGCCGCTGATGTCTGCCGCACTCTATTTGGGTTTTACCACTGAAAGCTGCACGAACGACAGCCACCCCAAAACAGCAGTCGACATTAACAGCAAACACAGCAATATGACAGCAGTAGAGACAGCATTAACTGCAGCAACAGTAAAAACAGTAACAACATCAGCAGCTAAAACAGCATTAATGGCAGCAACATAAAAAAAAGCAGTAGTTACAGCATTAGCCTCTAGCATAACCCTAACAAAAGTGATAGTAGCATCCAAAACAGCATTAACAGCAGTAGCCACAACAGCATTAACAGCCGAAACAGCAGAAGCCAAAACAGCATTAACAGCCACAGCAGCATTAACAGCCGAAACAGCAGAAGCCAAAACAGCATTCTTTCAATACAAGCAACATTATGACCAAACAGCAGAAGCCAAAACAGCATTAACAGCCACAGCAGCATTAACAGCCGAAACAGCAGAAGCCAAAACAGCATCAACAGCCAAAACAGCAATAACAGCAGGAAATACAGCATATCCTTCCTCCCTCATCATCATCAGGCCCCAACACGTTACTCATAATGCGGTCCCTCAAGACTCGTGGTAACTGATGATGCCGTCACTCCACCTCTCCGTCACTCCTGCATTTGTCACTCATCTATCGCTCTTGCATCTGCCACTGATCTCTATGTCACTCCTCTATCACCGTTTCGTCACTCCATCTATAACTCCTCCATCACTGTATCGTCACTCCTGTATCTGTCACTCATCTGTAACTCCTCCATCACTCCTACGTCTGTCACTCCTCTGTCACCGACTCGTCACTCCTGCATCTGTCACTCCTCTGTCACCGACTCGTCACTCCTGCATCTGTCACTCCTCTCGCCACTGTCTTGTCTCACTCTTCCGTCACTGTCACTCTTCCGTCACTGTTACTCCTCCGCGATTGTCACTGTCGGGGATTATCCAACAGGCAATCTTCTCTCTCTCTCTCTCTCTCTCTCTCTCTCTCTCTCATAGACTGTGCTTGTGGGACAAAAGCAAACTATTCCTAAGTTTCTCAACAGGTCACAGTAACTTTCTAAACATCTAACGTTGTCTTTCTTTCTTTCTTTCTCTTTCTTTCTTTCTTTCTCTCTCTCTTTCTTTCTTTCTTTTAATATATTGTATTTCATCGTTCTCTTGATTAACGAGAGAGAGAGAGAGAGAGAGACACACTCACCTGGAAACCTTGATCAAGTATAAGTGTGCTGATCCACTGTCAGCAATTATGAGTCCAGTATATGATCCACTTGAGCACCACTACGGGTACCAGATTAGAGAACACCTGTATATTGAACATTAGAAACTTACCTGTATAACTAGACATAAGAGAACACCTGTATATTGAACATTAGGGAACACCTGTATATTGAACATTAGAGAACACCTGTATACTGAACATTAGAGAACACCTGTATATTGAACATTGGAGAACACCTGTATATTGAACATTAGGGAACACCTGTATATTGAACATTAGAGAACACCTGTATATTGAACATTAGAGAACACCTGTATATTGAACATTAGAGAACACCTGTATATTGAACATTAGAGAACACCTGTATATTGAACATTAAGAGACTACATATATTGGTTAGAGAACACCCTGTATATTAGACATTGAGAACACCTGTATAGCCAGACGTTAGAGAACACCTGTATATTGAACATTAGGGAACACCTGTATATTGAACATTAGGGAACACCTGTATATTGAACATTAGAGAACACCTGTATATTGAACATTAGAGAACACCTGTATATTGAACATTAGGGAACACCTGTATATTGAACATTAGAGAACACCTGTATATTGAACATTAGAGAACACCTGTATATTGAACATTAGAAAACACCTGTACATTGAACATTAGAGAACACCTGTATATTGAACATTAGGGAACACCTGTATATTGAACATTAGAGAACACCTGTATATTGAACATTAGAGAACACCTGTATATTGAACATTAGAGAACTTTTGCACAGAGATTACGTCTATCACCTTCCTTCCTTCCTTCCTTCCTTCCTTCCTCTTACTCCTCCTCTCACCTCCTTCTACCTGTTACCCCCTCTTCCCTCCCTCTTACTTCCTCCTTCTCTACCTTTCTCCCTCTTACTCCCACCCTCTCTACCTCCTTCCCTCCCTCCTTCTTTCCCTACCAGCACTTACCGTCTTGTTGCCACGATGAAGGACACGGCAACGGAGAGAGGCTGTCCTTCCCAGCACTGAAGACACGTTTCCTGAATGCGCCATGTCCACCTGTAGCCCAAGATGAAACGTCTTTTAGGACATACATCAAGTAAAGGACATGCACCATTTCACAGTATCTACACGCGTTTCCTATGTGTTTCATGTTTATCAGGACATAGATCAAGATATAAGATTCTGGACACCTTAAATACCCCCATGTCCAAATAAATAATCAAGAATAGTCGAATTTAGGACATGTACGCGTTTCCTGTGTCCACTTGAGTCCCAGAATAAAGACATAAGCTCATAAGGTCTGTTTTTATTAGTGTTACTTACCCGAGGACCGTCTCTATGGGTGTATGTGTGTTCTGGTACGCCATGATGATGATGGTGTCCAGTGCTCTCATCAGGGGTTGACCTTTGACCTGTGTCCGTCACGGTTGGTACTGATGACGTCACAACTGAAGGTAGAGAAAGAAGGGAGAGAGAAAATACGATTACTCTCACTGTTGGCGCACACACACACACACACACACACACACACACACACACACACACACACACACTCAAGTGAACAAGAACGACTCAGGTCAGGAGTATATGTGGGAGATCTTCACCCTAATGACCCGTTAAGAGGCAGTGTGGATACAGCATACTGCACACAAAGCCTCAGTATGTATAATAGTATCGTGGCCACCATTGTACTCAACCGCCATTGCTTCCCCAAGTACGTCAGAAACCTATTCACATCGGGGAGTATCTTGGATGCAAACCAATGTCATTTAGGCTAGAACAGTGTGTTGTATCCACTCGGCCACCGCACCCTATACGTGTAAACTATCATCTTGAATGTGTTGTTGGTCCTCTGACTTGACCAGCACAATGACTACGAGTATAATGATATTGGAGAGGAGGTGAAAGGCCTGTGACCCCCCCCCCTCCTACCCCGCCATGAGCGTCTCCCGATGACAAGATTACCAGTGGCTGAGTAGATATAACCCTCATTTCCTATCCTCAAGGTGACTGGTTCGCACACAAGGTTTCCCCCAGTTCACTCAGATGTGTATAAGTTCCGGATTTTACAGTTTGGGGAAATGACGGTGGTCGAATGCAGTGCTGGCCAAGTTACCTTCTTTTGTACTAGGGAAAAAAAAAAGTGTAAATTTCCCGTGTTTTATCTGGCCAAGCGTAAGAGACCCCATTTCCACTCCTCTTAAGAGCTGTCCTTGTTTTTATATTCCTTGCTCACTGCGTTTTGGCCCTGATAGTCACTTGTTTTTATTGTCTCTCGGCTACCGGGTTTAATTTACAAGTATATATTTCCCTTTCAAGGTTTAGTTTTTTCCCTCTTATTTTTTTTTTCTACCTCACCTGCCTCACCTCTCTAGTTCTCCCTCCCTCCCTCCCTCAGGTCTGATATTTACGTTACCTATTTACAATTCCTCACAAAACCTTTCCTTTGTCTGTATTTCTTCCCCCGACTCTTCCTCCATCTTGACCACGACTGTCACTTGTTCCTGTGTCCATTGCGATGTTTGATTTATCCGTTTATACTTCCCCTCTGACCTATCGCGTGTGTTTATTCTTTCCTCACTGTATCTTTGTCCTGATTGTTACTTTGTCTTACTGTATTATACTGTAATGTCCGATTTATGTACTTGTATTTCCCACACGAATCTTATTTCTGTCTGTATCTATCTCTTACGCCCGATTGTCACTTGTTTTTACTGTGTCTATGAATAATGTTTGGTTTACCCGCTTATACTTTCTCTGGAGATTTTTCCCAATCTATCTCAGTCTATATTTTCTTTTTCCTTACTGCTCCACTGCCTCGACTGTCACTTGTTTTTTTTACCGCGCCTCAGCTCAGGTTAATTTAACCGCGTGTACTTCCCCGACAGCATTTCTGGTACCTATATTTCTCTTCGTGTTGTGATAATTTGTTGAACTTTTTGTCGGCAGGAAAAATATCCCACTCTACAAAGGTGAAATTCTAATTACATAAATTTCTTACGTTAATATTCTTTAAATGTATCGTGTTAAAATGTTAAGAATTAAATTATTTCATTATTAAATAGTTAAATGGGGATTGACTTCTCATACCTATACGTAATACAAGGGAGGTCACAAGGGAGGTCAGGAGGTTGACCTTTGACACTTACCTAACACGAGAGGGGTCAGGAGGTTGACCTTAGACACTTACCTAACACGAGAGAGGTCAAGAGGTTGACCAGCGAGGTAAAGGTACGTGGGGTCATCTTCTCTCACCTGCAAGAGGAAAAAATAAATAAAATCGTAATAAGTATTCATGTAATTAAATATGCTTCAAGTGACTGTCACCCACCAACCGTCACCCACCAGTAACACAGTCACCCACCAGTCACACAGTCACCCACCGGTCACATTCACCCACCGGTCACAGTCACCCACCACCCGTCACCCACTAACAGTCACACAGTCACCCACCAACAGACACACAGTAACCCACCAACAGTCACACAGTCACCCACCAACAGTCACACAGTCACCCACCAACAGACACACAGTAACCCACCAACAGTCACACAGTCACCCACCAACAGACACACAGTAACCCACCAGTCAGTCACACAGTCAGCTCCACCAACAGACACACAGTTACCCACCAACAGACACACAGTAACCCACCAACAGTCACACAGTCATCCACCAACAGTCACACAGTCACCCACCAACAGTCACACAGTCACCCACCAACAGACACACAGTAACCCACCAACAGTCACACAGTCACCCACCAACAGACACACAGTTACCCACCAACAGACACACAGTCACCCACCAACAGTCACACAGTCACCCACCAACAGTCACACAGTCACCCACCAACAGTCACACAGTCACATTATCGTCTCCTTGACTGTCTCTTCCACGTCGAGATAAAACGAACAATACAGTTTGTCTGATAATGGCCGCCGCTTCTCTCACATGGAGGTAAATTGTCTCTCAGTAAGGTTAATTATTTCTCAGTGAGGTAAATTATCTCTCAGTGAGGTAAATTATCTCTCAGTGAGGTAAATTATCTCTCAGTGAGGTAAATTATCTCTCACTGAGGTAAATTATCTCTCACTGAGGTAAATTATCTCTCAGTGAGGTAAATTATCTCTCAGTGAGGTAAATTATCTTTCAGTGAGGTAAATTATCTCTCAGTGAGGTAAATTATCTCTCAGTGAGGTAAATTATCTCTCAGTAAGGTAAATTATCTCTCAGTGAGGTAAATTATCTCTCAGTGAGGTAAATTATCTCTCAGTGAGGTAAATTATCTCTCAGTAAGGTAAATTATCTCTCAGTAAGGTAAATTATCTCTCAGTAAGGTAAATTATCTCTCAGTAAGGTAAATTATCTCTCAGTAAGGTAAATTATCTCTCAGTAAGGCAATTGTCTCTTTAGTGAGGCTATTATCTCTCAAGTGAGGTAATTATCTCCAAGTGAGGTAATTATCTCCAAGTGAGGTAATTATCTCCAAGTGAGGTAATTATCTCAAGTGAGGTAATTTATTCCAAGTGAGGTAATTATCTCCAAGTGAGGTAATTATCTCCAAGTGAGGTAATTATCTCCAAGTGAGGTAATTATCTCTCTGTGAGGTAAACACATAATAATGATTCTCGGTGTTGGTGGCAGAAAAGTCTTCCTTCACGCCCACACCTTTAAGACCCCGGAGTGTGTGGTCTTGGGACGCCACCTCAGACACAGGTCACCCCAGACTCAACACTGTACCCTGGTAGTGGTCACAGGTCACCCCAGACTCAACACTGTACCCTGGTAGTGGTCACAGGTCACCCCAGACTCAACACTGTACCCTGGTAGTGGTCACAGGTCACCCCAGACACAACACTGTACCCGGGTAGTGGTCACAGGTCACCCCAGACACAACACTGTACCCTTGCAGGTCACAGGTCACCCCAGACACAACACTGTACCCTGGTAGTGGTCACAGGTCACCCCAGATTCAACACTGTGCCCAGGTAGTGGTCACAGGTCACCCCAGACACAACACTGTGCCCAGGTAGTGGTCACAGGTCACCCCAGACACAACACTGCACCCTGGTAGTGGCCACAGGTCACCCCAGACACAACACTGTACCCTGGTAGTGGTCACAGATCATCCCAGACTCAACACTGTACCCTGGTAGTGGCTCACAGGCCACCCCAGACACAACACTGTACCCTCTGGTAGTGGTCAAGCAGGTCACCCAGACACAACACTGCACTCCTGGTAGTGGTCACAGGTCACCCCAGACACAACACTGTACCCAGTAGTGGTCACAGGTCACCCCAGACTCAACACTGTACCCCCGGTAGTGGTCACAGGTCACTCCCAGACAACACTGTACCTGGTGTGGTCAAAGGTCACCCCAGACACAACAACACTGTACCCTGGCAGGGCTCAGCAGGTCACCCCAGACACAACACTGTACCTGGTAGTGGTCACAGGTCACCCCAGACACAACACTGTACTCCAGGTAGTGGCCTCACAGGTTACCCCAGACACAACACTGTACCCTGCAGTGGTCACAGGTCACCCCAGACACAACACTGTACCCTGGTAGTGGTCACAGGTCACCCTAGACACAACACTGTACCCTGGTAGTGGTCACAGGTCACCCCAGACACAACACTGTACCCTGGTAGTGGTCACAGGTCACCCCAGACACAACACTGTACCCTGGTAGTGGTCACAGGTCACCCCAGACACAACACTGTACCCTGGTAGTGGTCACAGGTCACCCCAGACAAACAAACTTACTTCCGTGTTATTGTTTGAGCTCTTCATTGTCTGGATAATAACCCGAGGGAAAAAAAAAACGTTCCTTTTCATTGTATCGTTTCGGTGTAAATCGTCTGGAAAAAATTGCCCCAAAGAATTCTACCAGCATGGCTCTTTAGTGTGACGTCATGCGGAGTAATGGTAAACACTAACAACAAGGTGACGTCATGCGCTGTAATGGTAAACAACAATAACAAGGTCCACAGGAGGTTTTAAAATACCCGAGTGAAGTTTTCATTACAGTAAGGTGCTGTAATTCTACTGCGGTATAATTACGGGTCACGTTATTTTTTGTCAATACGTTTTTATGACGTTTAATTACTATGGGAATTATTTTATTATACCATGAAGATATATCAACATTATTAAAAAAATCTTATTAAACAAAACTATATTAATTTTCCTACGGGCCTAAATGTTTTTTTTTTCATTTATTTATTTTTATGATGTAAATTTCTATTGAGATTAATAAAATAAAAACAGGAAATTAATAATTGAGGTAAAAAATAGTGAGGAAAATGAAGGGGTTATCTCTACAGTGATAATATTTCCACAACAAATATTTCCATATAAAAAAAAAATAATAAATTAATTAGGACAAGTTTATCCGACATCTTATTACCTTGAACGTAAAGATATGGAATTTATTTACTTTTCGATTAATACTCAAATGACAATACCTTTCCTCCCCCGTGTTCTCTCCTCCTACGCTCACCATTCAGTCTTTAAGGAATACATTGGAGGATTTCTACAGGATTTCAGGATTTTTAATTAAACCTTCAAAAAGTAATGGAGGATTTTTATATTTTGAGCCATAAAAGTTTATCATATATTACAGTCTTGATATTTTGGTTTCTTTGTGTGTGTGTGTGTGTGTGTGTGTGTTAGTGTATGTGTAATATATTTTTTATCTTGAAGTGAAAGTTAAATGTAAGTAACTTTCTTTTTGCTTTCCCAGTCATTTGGTTAAATTAAGTATGTAATTCTCTCTCTCTCTCTCTCTCTCTCTTTCTCTCTTTAGGGAAATACAAGAGGGTAAAACTCCATATTTCTCAGTGCCTAGGGAAATTTGAAGGTATGTTATCTCTCTCTTTCGCTCTCTCTTTCAGTCTCTCTCTCTTTCGCTCCCTCTCTCTTTCGCTCCCTCTCTCTCTCTCTCGGAATATAAGGATGTTTGTTTATGATTTTTACGGATAAGGAACAGAGAGAGAGAGAGAGAGAGAGAGAGAGAGTCAGCTTCTGTTTATTGATCCCATTGTCCAGTTAAGTCCAAAAGACAATATAAACATTGATATTTAACCATTAAAATCTACCCCAAACTATACAATTAGTTTGGTTATATACATAGACAATACAGGTATACAATTGAGCATGCATAGAAACAACACAGGTATACATTAACCGTTCAGGTATACAGTATACATCAACCGTCCAGGTATACAGTATACATTAACCGTCCAGGTATACAGTATACATCAACCGTCCAGGTATACAGTATACATTAACCGTCCAGGTATACAGTATACATTAACCGTCCAGGTATACAGTATACATTAACCGTCCAGGTATACAGTATACATCAACCGTCCAGGTATACAGTATACATTAACCGTTCAGGTATACAGTATACATCAACCGTCCAGGTATACAGTATACATTAACCGTCCAGGTATACAGTATACATTAACCGTCCAGGTATACAGTATACATAACCGTCCAGGTATACAGTATACATTAACCGTTCAGGTATACAGTATACATCAACCGTCCAGGTATACAGTAAACATTAACCGTTCAGGTATACAGTATACATCAACCGTCCAGGTATACAGTATACATTAACCGTTCAGGTATACAGTATACATTAACCGTCCAGGTATACAGTTCAATACTAAAACTAAACAACATTTTTACACCTTTATTAATTAACCTTCCACCTGTCTTTAAAAGTGAAAGTGTTTATAGAAAGTCCTGAATGGAAAGGCTGAGTGAAAGCCTTTAGTGAAAATGATAAGAGCTCAGTGGAAGTGATGATCAGTTCAGAAACTAGAGGAGGTTCCTTCATCAAATTTCCTGTCGAGGAAATTGTGAATTAAAAACACTGAAAGATAAAGCGAGGAGCGAGGACTCAGGTGACACGTCTCTCTCTCTCTCTCTCTCTCTCTCTCTCTCTCTCTCTCTCTCTCTCAACACACACTGCCAAACAAGGTCATACAATCGATGGGTGTATATGAGTCACAGACCACCTTTAAGTATGTGTGTGTGTGTGTGTGTGTGTGTGTGTGTGTGTGTGTGTGTGTTAGGTTAGATTAGTTTACGTTCGATTAGATTAAGTTAGGTTAGATTCGGATTAGATTAAACTAGCATAAATCAGCTGAAATTAGATGAGCATTACAACACTTAATCAGATGAAATAAGTTTGTGTTCCTAAACCTCTTGAGAACTGAATGCAAGAAGAACA